TTCATGAACCAGCTGGGGCAAGGGCAAATTAATCAATCTATATGGCTTGAGTGCCCCAGCCGTTCCATGAATCGATTTGTCTGAATAGTAGTCATGAATTTATTCTATTTATGATTAAGTCAGATCCCGGTGTTCTACGTTCATGAACCAGCTGGGGCAAGGGCAGATTAATCAATCTATACGGCTTGAGTGCCCCAGCTGTTCCATGAATCGATTTGTCTGAACAGTAATGAATTTATTCTATTTATGATTAAATCAGTTCCCGGCATTTTGCGTTCATGAACTAGCTGGGGCAAGGGCAGATTAGTCAATCAATACGGCTCGAGTGCCCCAGTCGTTCCACGAATCGATTTGTCTGAATAGTAGTCATGAATTTATTCTATTTATGATTAGACCAGATCCCTAATTTTAATTGGTTGTTAAGTTTTCCGTCTCACGCAAGCTTGACATTTGGTTCTAATTGCTGATTCTCCTAACTATACACTCATATAGCAAACAATACGAGAAATAATTTGAGAGCATATAAAATTTTTATTCATAAACTAGGCACTTGCAGCGGACATTTTACATATGAAAACTAAAAAACGTACATTGATATTGAAATTGAATATACTTAATAAAAGTAGAATGTCTCCCAGATCAATCCTCGGGATCTGACTCAAGTGGCTCAACGTCTACTTGCTCGTATGGAATTGGCACGGCCAATGTAACTCCAACGGCAGCAAGGGCTTTGAGCCACCCACGTTTGAATCCCTAATTCTCGAATTTGGGGACCTCGTCTACATATTCCTTGAAGGCGGCGCTCCTTCCAGCCTCAAGTGCCGTAGAAACTTCGGATTTGGCTTTCTCCTTGGCCGCCTTCAACTTCTTTAACTTGGCCTCTGCCTTGGCAAGCGCCTCCTTAGCTAACTCGAGTGATTCCTCGCTCGCGTTCGCCTTATCCTTGACTTTGGATCTGAGCTGGTTAGCAGTCTGAGCCCTCTCCTTTTCTGCTTCGGCTCGAGCATTTTCTATTGCGGCCCTCATCGCCTCGAATTTGGCCCTGCTCCTTTCGCCTTCAGCTTCAGACTTTAAGCGGCCAATTCTTTCAATGGCATCATGCTAACGGCGGCCTAGTTCGGCTATCCTTCCAACCGTCTTCAAAATAGGTTGGGATCATCACACCAAGGAATATCATATGCAAACCAAACCAAACGAGTAAAAAAATGAAAATCGTACACATATCAGAAGGGTCGACTGGGCAGTGAACGCTATAGCTGCCAAATCCAGCTCCTCTTGAAAGGTGGCCTTGTCAGCCGGTAGTGAAACTGAGGCAGCCAAGCTCAACGCTATGGCTGGATCCTTCATGGCAGATGCGTCAGCGGAGATTGGTGTGTTTTTGATCTTTGGTTGAACAACAAAAGGAAACACGACGTCGGACTCCTCTAAACGAGGCCGTTTGCCAGCAGGGCTATCCTCCAAGCCAACGTCTCCCTCGGCGTCACGTTTTTCGCCCCGCTTTTTTGGAACTAGTCGTTCTTCCGTAATTTGTTGTTTGGCCTCCTTCTCCGTCTCATCCACAAAAACTTGAGCCGTTTCCTCTTCAATAATGGGTTGTAAAGACTCAACCAGGGCAGGCTCAGAATGAGCGGCCTCTGCCTTTTTTCGGGTCGCCATTCGCTCGGCATTTCTCTTTCTCGCCATCTGCGTAAGATTTTCCCCAGCCATGCCTTCAGAAAAATCCCCGGGTAGATCCCCCAAGTCTGTAAAAATATCTCCGAAGGAAAACTCTACCCGACCAGAAGTGGATGGTGAGTCAGGCTAGTTACGACCGGTAGCCTCAAACGCTGACCTCTGGGCTTTGTCGACCTCTTCGCCCTCGGCAGCAAACTCCCTGATTGATTCGGCGACTACCTCGATCACCAGCTCTAAGTTTTGCTCCGAATTAGGAGTTTCAAGACCCATTTGCCTAAGAGACTTGAAGCTAGGGAAGACAAGAGCCATATGGTGTTGTTCGCCGGTTGGGATCGGAATGTTGTTTGCGGCCGAAAACGTAGTATAGGTATGCTCATACCGCAGAAGAATGTGGGCGGTTCTACCTTGTTTCTGTACGTTTGGATGGTCAAAGTACTTTAGTGCAGTCTTAATTCCCGCAAGGATTGCGTCGTCAGCCGAGGTCAGAACCTTCTTCAACTTATTGCCTGCAAAAACAGAGGATTAGATTTGGAAAAGGAGCCGAATAAAAGAAGGGTTAACAAACAAGGAGTCACACGACAACCTGGTTCATTCCGCCGTCTGGGAATAGGGTCTAGGCAATCTTCGCATTCGCCGAATTTCCAATTGCCTCGGACATTGACCATTACATCGTCAACTCGTTTGCCAGAGCTGGCAAGTGTCATTACCAGATGATGGTCGGTGTCCTTGGCCTTGAGAAAGTAACGACCGAGCCAACCGGAGGATTTGGCTAAAGCGTAGCAGTGCCGAATCGCCGGAATGCCAAGGTTGATCCTGAGACGCCGGTTCAACTCTACAATTCCCATTACGATTCGAAATAAATTCACATTGGGTTGCGAGGGAATCAGACCCTAATGTCGGAGGATGACCCTAAGAAATGGATGTAGGGGAAAATGAACTCCGCCCTCCGCAATGGATAGGAAAGGAAAGACGATTATATTTCGGTTATCCCTCTCCATATCAAGGGAATTGTCCGTTACTAGAGATAGATGGACATTATCAGGAATGGAGAAATGTCTCTAGAACCCAGAAATTCGATCCTCAGAGAGGAGGTCTTTCAAATGCTTAGCCATTTTAGTGAGGACTCAAGGATATTCTAAATCAAAAAATAAATACGGAAAGTAGGATTGCAAAGAAAAGAGAAGAAGACTTACGAAAGGCAAAGGAAACAAGGAGAGGACGGATAGGAGTTGCAGAAAACGCCAGAGAAGAAATACCGATTGGCAGTCCGGAAGGTTCGAAATATTCGAAAAAGCATGTATTCGACGGGACTTAAGCTTCAAATCATAATAAATGCGAGAGAAGCACGAATGAGGCGGGAAAGCGTTATAATGACCAAAAAGCATATACGCGTCCCGACACGCATCGGGAAGAGGATTAACTGCCGAATTTTAGTCCCCAGATTAGAAGCCAACCACGCCGACTAGATGATGCTAGTGGGGTGTTTGGGGGGCAATTGTGAGAGCCAAATATTAAAAAGAATTAGAAGCATATTCCAGTCAGATACTATTCGGCTCTATTTGGCACGTTCAGGATGTCGAATAAAATGGATAGATAGGCCGAATAGTTATTGAACTATGGAGCCGAGGGAATAGAAGGATAATGAGTGAAAAGTGGGCCCTGCCCTGAGGCACAGGGAACGAGTATAAATAGAGGAATAACAGACTGAGAAAGGTATGTGAAAATTATTATGCTTAACTTAGAATACAAGCAATCTTGAGTGTGAGACTGACTTGCCCGTCGGAGTGCTAATTCCGGCACCCTCGATCGAAGTGTTCATTCTTTTTCAGGTGACTAGAAGAGGATCAAAAGCGTCCCTCAGGATCTGAAGAGTATCCCCAAAACCACTTCTCCACACAATCCGTTTAAACACAGATTAGATCGGTTTAGGACCACAGATTCACATAATTAAATAAATAAAAAAAATATAAAACATTTTAATTTCATAAAAACATAAACATAGCATCAAACAAAAGCAACAAATAAAAGCAATAAAATTGAATACACATTACACATAATAGAGTTCTTCTCTATATTAAAACTAAATATAACATCAAACAAAAGTAATAAAAAAATTAGTTTTAGACAAACAAAAGGAACAAAACTAACAAAACTCCATGAACAGAAGCAACAAACAAACAAAAGCATAGCAGCAACATAGTAGCAATATGGAATAAGGGTTTAGCTTTTATATGGAATAAGAAATGATATTATGTGGAAGGGTTTATAATATAAATATGGACTATTTGTATACAGTCTGGATTGGTTATAATTTGGAACCGATCAGTGGCTTACGGATTTTTAAATTTTCAATCCGGAATTGAACCACGGATTCAAAAAATTAATCCAAACCTACTAGATTAGACTGGACCAGATCAGATTACGGATTATATAGATTTCTTACTCAGCCCTAAGGGTATGGATCCCACACCCACGTGAGACATTTGGTAGAAATTTTGATAGAATTTTTGAAATTTTTAGCATTGCTCAAAAAGTTAAAAAAGTGCATTTTTTTAATGCTAACCAAACAACCTCCCAATTACAGTCTATTTTGGAAAATAAGAGAAAAGTCAACTTTTAAATTTTTTTTGAAAAAACATGCAAAAAAAAGTTTAGAGATGATCCAAATAATCCAATAAACTATATTTTTTTCCTAATTACCAATAATAGAAGCCTACATTATCTTTCTATTTTGTTATATATTTTTTTTAAAAAATTAAAGGGACATTTGGGATGATCTAAAGTATAATTTTTAATTTTTTATAAAAAAATATATAAAAAGAGAAAAAAGTAATAAAACATAAATAAATACATTTAAAATAAATATAGTAATATAAGTTATGCAAAATACCCTTAATTAAATTAACTAATTCCTAAACGTAGATATGTATGAATTGACAAAAATTATGTGTAAAAATAACTACCTACTACAAATAAATTTATGTAAAGCGGCGGTCACTGTTATTCCCGCTCGTTTTAATTGTGAAGTTTTCAAAAAAGTACTCTGGCCTCTCTCTCTCTCTCTCTCTTTAAAAAGTTAGAAACTACGACCCTCCGCCGCTCGACGTCACCACCTCCCTCGAATTTCAAATGTAAATTACATCATACTACTAACTTTGTTTTATTTAAACAAATTAATTACTATTTCCGTCAAACATATAAAAACAAAAAATATCCCCTTCCATCGTTCTCACTACACCTCTCCTCTACCTCACCACACCACACCACACCACACCACACTTTCTCTTTCTCTCTCTCTGCAACTCTTTGTCTTAAAGAACAAGAAAAGAACTCTCTCTCTCTCTCTCTCTCTCTCTCTCTCTCAAACTGAATTAAAAATCAAACAATCTTCTTCACTTTGGAGCTTCAGACCATGTGAGCTCTGACAGATTCTCTTTCTTCTTCTTTTTCTTCTTCCAGACCTATTTCTCTCTCTCTCTCTCTCGATCAATGGCGGGCTCTTCGTCTCGGGGACGAAGTAGTTCACCATTCAGCTACCGTAAGCCTGCGACTCCGTTCTCGTCATCGTCTTCGTCGTCGTCGTCTTTGATGAATGGTGGTAAGCTCATGCCTCGGTCGTGCTCGTCTTCTGCGACGTCGTATTACGGCACTGGCAATGGGTACAATTCCAGATCCATGACTCCGAGTCTGCCGAAAGGAGGCGGAGGAGGGTTCGGAGGCCGCTCGCCTGTTGGTTTTGGATCGGCGGATGAGCTTCTTCTTGGAGACCCACTCGATGCTCCGAGATCATCCGGCGGCGATAGCATTTCGGTCACCATTCGGTTTCGGCCGTTGAGGTAAAGTAGTAATGCTAGATCTGAGTCAATTGGTTTAGATCTGCACTGCACTGTTTGATTTGATTGGAATTAGGGCTCTGTATTACGAGCAAAATGTGTTTTGATATTGGAGGAGGATGTTGAATTTGTGGTTGTAGTGAACGGGAATATGAGAGGGGGGATGAGATTGCCTGGTACGCCGATGGCGATAAAATTGTGCGCAATGAGTACAATCCAGCTACTGCCTATGCATTTGGTTTACTTCCTGTTCTTCACTCTTCTAATTAAGTTTTTCTTTTTTTTTTTTTTTTTTTAATTAAGTTTTTTTTTTTTTTTTAATTTGTTTTTAAATTCATACATGTGTAAAAATTAATAAAGTTTAATTGAATTATATATAGATAAAGTTTTTGGACCCTCCACGGCATCCCAGGAAGTATATGAAGTAGCTGGTCGACCAGTAGTCAAAGCTGCAATGGAAGGTGTAAATGGTATGGTATACCTTTGTTCATAAAATCCCCAGACTTGTTTTTCCCTAATCAACGCCATAGTTGTTACAGAAATATCTGATATTGCTCTTGGTCAGTGCTATGACTAATCAATGAAAGCAACATAAGTGAAATGCTGCTTGTTGAAATTGTTAGTTGATAGCTGAAAATGCTAATCAATTCAATTGAACTGTTGTTTTGTAGTTAATTTCTTTTACTCAGCCAATTCAGTTCGGTGCTATCATCAATTGTTGTTTTGTGACACAACTTATTGATGAAATTAGTGTAATAGTTATTTAAGCTTAGACGTGGCTACTGATGATGCAGGAACTGTCTTTGCCTATGGTGTTACAAGTAGTGGGAAGACGCATACTATGCATGTAAGTCTAATTCTATGAGATGTTACATGTCCTTTTATTAGTTCTTCAGGACTTTCACTCTGAATGACTTGAAAAATCATGAACAAAACAAACTATATACCTCTGTTTGACCTCTAATTGCATCTGATGAGCAACATAAACTCATATTGAGCTTAAGTCTTTTTGTTCCACTATTTCCATTTAAATCATATTATCTCAAGTGGGCAGTTAGTGAAGAAATCTCTAAAGTAAATTATGTCAGACAAGTCTTATCAGTTTTAAGCATAGTTGTCAAATCGGGATTCGAATCGTGAATTAAAATGGTATTGTACCCAATCGCGAATCGAATTGAATCGTGATCGTAAAGATTCGGCAACCTTTTCAAATTACATAGAAAAATATATCTACACATTTAGATATTAAATATATCTAATAAATATGAAATATTTAGACTTAAATCAATAGAAAAATTATTTTAAATGATGATCATGTGATCTGGGTAACAAGTTAACACGGGCTCCTATGTTTACCATTTCACCTTTTTCCTTTTAGATACTATTTTTAATCAACCATTCTTAATAAAGAAAGCAAACAAAGACAAACTTTTAATTTCTAAATAACAATAACTCAACAACAATGTTTTAACTTTTTGCAAGGTTAAAAAATCAAATCTTCATTTTGTAGATGCAAGTACTTAGATAAAGTTGAACATGTAAACCTAGAATATTGTAGAGAGAGAAAGTTCATTTGTTCTGCTAAGGTTTGAGTATTTGAGACTAAAATAAGGAGGGAGAAAGTCAAAAGATGGTATATAATAATACTAAAGGCCTTGAAAATGTTGTGTGAACCATTTTCCAACAACAAAAAAACCAAACATCGATTTTAGCAAATCGAATCGATTCACGATTCACTTACGATTCATAGCTATTTGCGATTCACACAACTTGTTCATATCGATTACCCACTGAATTGAATTGAATCATATGATTCGAATTAGAATCGTATGATTCTAATAACAGAGGTTTTAAGAACCACGAGGTACCACATGTGCTACAATGAGTGATCTTTTTAGTCATTAATGTTCTATTCTCTCCGAGAGTATAGTTAACTGTAACAACATTTTTGTGGTCCTGCATTCATGGTTTAGTTAGTAATGTTATATTCCTAAGTATTGATTTATAATGATTTTTTATTGGGCAATATAAAGCTCATGAATTTGATATGCAGTTTTTTTAGTACATTTGACGTATTTCTCTTATTAATATTCACAGGGAGATCAAAATTCTCCAGGTATAATACCATTGGCAATAAGGGATGTTTTCAGCATGATTCAAGATGTAAGTGTGCTGAGAAAATTTATTAGGCTTTGAAGTACTATTCTGTTTTTCTAGGTCACCTATTGATTTGTTGTTATGAAGGCACTTTTTTCCTTTCGCTCCTACTGGTTTTGTGTGGTGAACTGGTGATGTTACTATATGTTGATAATACTCTTCGAAGTATCACACTTTTGGGCACAATTTTGTAGTTCATGTTATTTTCTTCCACACTAGCAAAAATTGAGATTGCTGCTGTGTATACACCAATTTTTTTTTTTCTTAGAGTTTTTGAAACATTCCTTTTACTTTGTTTTTAGTCCGTTAATAGATCTATCATTTATTTCAATTAGCCAATGGCTTTGCCTTTAAGTGATCATGGAAGCATTGCTAAGATGCACAGACACAGATACGGATGCAGATATGGGACACAGTGATTTCAAAAAAAATGGGGACACGCCAATAAAATATATTTTTATTTTTTATCTAGATTAATATTATATCCACAAACAATCAATATTAATAAAAACTAACTCTAAGGCCTCGTTTGGGAACCCTCCTATTTAGTCAAAAAGCAAAAAGTTACTAAATTAGCCAAAAAGGCAACAACCCATACCAAAAAGTTAAAGATTCTTTTTTCTCTCTACTTTTTGCACATCTTTTTGTAAAAAGCCAAAAAGTCATCCCAAACATACTAGTTTTTTTTAGCTTATATTTTAGCCAAATAGTCACAAAGTTACTAAATTAGCTTGCTCCCAAACGAGGCCTAATTATATATATATTAAAAAAAATGTACTTTTAAATTAACACTTACAATTTATATCTTTTTAATTTTCAATTTTTATGGATGATCTATTAAGTATTTAAATCTAATAGTTGATCAAAAAAAAAAAAAAAATAAATCTAATAAAAAAATAACATTCAACATTCATCAAAAGCACTAAAGAAAATGGAAGAAAAAACTTGGCGTGTCCCTAGTGTGTTCCTAAAGTGTCCCTGACATGTCCCCTGAAAATAAATTAATTAAATAAGGGACATGTCATGTGGCGTGTCCCATACGTGTCCCCGCCGTGTCCATGTGTCTCTGCTGTGTCTACATGTCTAATGTTTTTAAGGCTCAAGGTGCACGAAGGCACCGAAGGTCTTTTGGGGCTTAGGCGCAAGGCGAGGCGCGAGCTTTATTAAAGTAAGGTGTACATTCTTATTAGAATAGGAAATATGTGATTGTATTAACTGTTTATTTATTCCCTTAATTAGTGTAATGGGCTGACCCATATATTATGCCTTATGGCACTCTTGTAATTACTCAGTATTATTAAATATAAAAGGGAATAAAGTCTAACTCATTCCCTAATTCTTTCTCTTCTCTAAACCTATAAGTCTCAGTAAAAAATAGATAAATTAACATAAACTAATTATTCATAGCATGTAAGTACTAAGACAATTTTCATAGCATGTTTGTATTAGTACAACTCTGTTAACAATTTTTTTAAAAAAACAATCACTTAAAAAAAAATAATAAAAAATAAAAATGGTTGCTTTTTGGTGATGTAAAAAAAAAAAAAAAAAACAAACTGAATTCTTAATATTCTTAATGGTTATTGTGCTTGTTACTCCACTCTCATCTTCTAGGTTTGTGATTGACATCGTGTTTGAGGAATCATTAGTAGAGTCTCCATGGCGGATTTGACCAGTGAATCTACTACCTCTCAGCCATCTTAGGGCGAAAGTTCTGTTATCCCTTCCACTATGACTGATAACCTCCACAGTGGTCTTAGAATTACCACCTCTCTATTCAATGGTCAGAATTACCTAGTGTAATCGTAGAGTTTGACTATTTTCTTGAAGAGTAAGGGGAAGATGGAATATGTTGATGGGCAGGTTCAGGCACCCAGTATCACCGATCCTCATTATGACTAATGGGAGATCACCAATTCTCTGATTATGGGCTGGTTGATCCATTTTATGGTTCCTAAGATTGGAGAAGGCTACTTGTCTATGGACACTGCCCTAGGATATTTGGGAGGTCGTAGCAACTACTTACTCCAGGAAGGGGAACTTCTCACAGGTTTTCGAGTTACGTCACTCCATTGAAAGGTCGGTACAAGGTGAGCAGACTATCCTTCAGTATTTTACCTTCCTTAACAATGGGTGGAAGCGACTTGATCACATTTAGAATTACAAGCCTGTTTGTCTCACTGATTTTGCTGGTTATCGAAAGTTTGTGGTGCAAGAGTAGGTTTTCAAGTTCTTGGAAGGCCTAAATGTGGAGTATGATCCGGTTCGGAGTAGAGTACTTGGCATGGATGCGCTTCTTTCTCTCTAAGAAGCCTTTGCTTTTGTGCAGAATGAGGAGAGTCGTCGTTTTGCAATGCTTTCTTCTGTTACTACTGATCGCTCGGCCTTGGTTTTTGTACCATCTCGCGACGGTGACCATGTGACTCGTGGTTCTCGTCCTTCCTCTGAGAAGGATATCTTTACTGTGACTATTGTCGTCGACCTCGCCACAAACGCGAGACTTGTTGGAAGCTACATGGAACTCCCTTTGGTGGCCGAGACGACCGTCCTGGTACTCGAGGGGGTCAGTCTGGTACTAGAGGCCGTAGGGCCAATGCCTGAGCTCATCTTTCAGACACTGTTGAACCACCATCTTTATCTCCAGTTGTCTTCTTCGCTGTTGGTGTCTCAGGGTTATCTGTCTCGGATTTTGAGATTGCTCTTCGCCACTTGCTAGATCGTTGAGCCTCCACTTCTACTACAGGTGCACCTTCTTCTTCCTTTGCTAATTCAGGTAACTTGGCTTCCTCCCCATGTGCATTGCTATCTCATACGACTGTCCCATGGATTATTGATTTTGGTGCTTCTGACCATATGTCTGGTTCCTCTAATTTATTTTCAGAATATAACCCCTTCTCAAGTCAGGAAAAAGTACGTATTGCTGATGATACCAATTTCGTCTGTGCCAGGGAAAGGTTTAATTCATGCCACCTCTTCCCTTCCTTTGTCTTCTGGCTTCCATGTTCCCAATTTCAGTGTTAATCTTTTATCTTTGAGTTATATTACCCGTGACTTAAATTGTAGCGTGACGTTTTTTTCCTGATCATTGTCTTTTTCAGGTCCTTATCACGAGGAAGAGGATTGGCAGTGGTAGAGAGGACTATGGGCTCTACATTCTGGATCAGATAGACAAGTTAGCTCATTCATCTATTCAGTTACCATCCACCAAGGAAGACATTTGTTTGTGGCACCGTTGCTTAGGACATCTCTCTTTTTTATTACTTAAGCATTTATTTCCTTCTGTTTTTGAGAAAAATAATGTGTTAGATTTTCAATGTGAGTCTTGTCAACTTAGAAAACAACACAGAGCCTCTTTTGCTCCTTCTATTAATAAAAGTTTAGTTTCATTTTCTTTGATTCATTTTGATGTATAGGGTCCATCTCGTTTTGTGTCTATAACCGATCAAAAATAGTTTGTTACCTTCATAGATGATTGTTCTAGGGCTACTTGGGTCTATTTGATGAATGATAAAAGTGAGGTATTTTCTGTGTTTCAAACCTTCCATAAAATGGTTTGTACTCAATTTGAGGCGGTTGTCAAAATTCTACGTTCTGATAATGGGGGGGAATGTATTGACTCTGGTCTTGCCACTTATTTCGCCCCTCATGGCATTATTCACCAGATTTCATGCACTAATACTCCTCAACAAAATGGTGTTGCAGGACGCAAAAATCGCTATCTTTTTGATGTCACCCGTTGTCTATCCTTTGAGATGCGGGTTCTTCAATCCTATTGGGGGAAGCGATTCTCACTGCCGCTTATTTGATTAATCGTCTTCCTACCCACGTCCTTCACAAACAAACACCTCTTAAAGTTTTGTTCGGGTCTACCCCTTCCGGGTTCTCCATTCCTCCTAAGACTTTTGGCTGTGTTTGCTTTGTCCATAATCATTCACCCACTCATGGTAAATTGGATCCTAGGTCTCTTAAGTGTGTTTTTCTGTGTTATTTTGCCATCAAAATGAGTTATAAGTGTTATCATCTTCCTACTCGTAAATGGTTTGTCTCCATGGATATCGCTTTCTTTGAGTCTTAACCTTGCTTTCCGGCCCACCTGGTCTCATAGTCATCTTTTCAGGGAGAGCCTTGGTGTGAAGAGATTCCTGTTCCACTTCCGCAAGTGGTTGAAAAGATAGAGAATGATGAGTCAGCAGTTGTTGAGGAAAAGGTAGGGGTGGGCGCGGGTCGGTTGCGACCACGTAGCCTTTAATTTGCCATCCGTCCGCTAAATTGGCGGATTAGAGAAAATCAGTCCGCATCCATCTGCCAATCCGACGGATATGGATTGAGCGGATTGGTGGATGGATGCGAATTGGTTTGGTGATTTAAAATTTTATAAATTTTCAACATAATTCAATTTATGTACTTCCTCAAAAAAAAAAAAATATATATATATATTACAGTGAATTACTTAAAAAAGTATTACAATTACTGCATTCCTCATCCAAACAAAGAAAGTTTAAAACTTTAGAACATTACAATCACTATATGCCTTATCCACATATTACAATCAAACTACCAAAACGATGAACACAACAGTAATAGAGATTGTATGTCTCTGTATTGTTACATCTATATTTGTTTTTTAAAACAAAACTAAACAGCATATATCATCTTTTTTATTTATTATTTTTAGAGTTAGATTTAAAAACCAAAAAATATAGATAAATAATATATTTATTTTTTTCAATTCAAAAAATATATTCAAGTTGAAAACTCTTTTTTAATAGAATGTATTCAACAGAATATTTAAATTCTTTTTCAATTGAAAACACAAATATAATATCTAAATAAATTGAAAACACAAAGTCTTTCAAATTACTAGAGGTACTCGCGGTATGGCTATTCGGTTGCGGCTAAAGGAATCTCCAATCTGCTATCAGTCCAAAATTAGGCGGATTGAAAAAAAATCAATCTGCAACTGTCCGCTTGTTATCACGCATCCGTCCAAATGCGGCGGATTGGTTTGGTTCGGTCAGTTTGGGCGGATCGATATATCTGCTGCTCACCCCTAGGAAAAGGTAGCAGGCAAAGTTTATATTAGGGATAAGGACAGACAGCAAGTCACCTGGATGCAAGTGACTACTTTCCTTCCTCTACTGCCAACTTCTTCTCCGGATGAGTGTCCAGAGTCACCCTATTCTCCTGAGAGTCCAGGTAATTTTGATTCTAATGTTTCTATTCTTGTTTTTTCAGATCTAGATGTTCCCATTGCTAATAGGAAGGGGGTTAGGTCATGTACTCAGTATCTTATTATTAATCATGTCTCTTATTCTCATCTGTTTTCCTTATATAAAGCTTTTTTGTCTAAAGTGTCTTCTGTGAGTCTACCTACCAATTTTTAGGATGCTCTCTATTCCTGAATGGAGAGCTCTCAGCAAGAGTGGCACTTAGGAGTTAGTAGAGTTACCTAGCGGAAAAAATCCAGTTGGGTGTAAGTGGGTGTACACGGTAAAACACAAAGCAGATGGTTCCATAGAACGGTACAAAGCAAGACTGGTTGCTAAGGATTTCACTTAGACTTATGGGGTGGATTATCAGGAGACATTTGCACTAATTGCTAAGATGAATTCCGTGAGAATCTTACTTTCTCTTGTTGCAAATTTGGATCGGCCACTTCATTTATTTGATGTGAAGAATGCCTTCCTTCATGGAGACCTAGCAGAAGAGGTCTATATGGATATTCCTTCTGGTTTTACGGATGCTAAGTCCAATGGTAAAGAATGTAGGTTCCGAAAGTCACTTTATGGGCTAAAGTAGTCTCATAGGGCTTGGTTTGAAAGGTTTGCTCAAGCTATGCTAAAATATGGGTTCAAACAAAGTTAAACCGATCACACCTTATTTGTGAAACACTCCTCACATGGTAAGACCACAGCTCTTATTGTCTATGTTGATGATATTGTTCTGACAGGAGATGATGTTGAGGAGATTCCTCGTTTGAAAGAATAATTAGCCAAAGCGTTTGAAATTAAAGACTTAGGCTATTTGAAGTAGCTCGGTCCAAGGATGGCATCTTCATATGCCAGAGGAAGTGTGTACTTGACTTGCTTACGGAAACTGGAATGCTTGGAGGTAGAGCATTGGATACACCTCTAGAACTGGGCCAGAAATTGAGTGAGGATCAAGAGGGAGATCCAGTGGACAGGGGGAGATACCAGAGATTAGTGGGCAAGCTCATATACTTATCCCACTCACGTCCTGACATTGCCATTGCCGTGAACATGGTAAGCCAATTTATGCATGCTCCTCCTAGAACTTTCCACTTGGAGGCACTTATGAGAATCCTGAGATACCTGAAGTCTTTTCTTGGAAAGGGTCTCTATTTCTCAAACATGGCCATCTCAGTGTGGAGGCATTTACTGATGCAGATTGGGCTGGATCAGTCACTGACAAACGATTAACTTCTGGATACTGCATATTTGTGGGTGGCAACCTAGTCACATGGCGAAGTAAGAAACAGAATGTGGTGGCTAAATCTAGTGCCGGGGCAAAATTCAGGGCTATAGCTCAGGGTGTATGTGAGTTACTATGGATTAAACTATTGTTGGGAGACTTGGGAATCTATCAGACTGACTCCATGCGACTATACTGTGACAACAAGGCCACAATCAACATAGTCAACGTGATAGAACTAAGCATGTGGAGATTGGTAAGCACTTCATCAAGGAAAAACTTACTAGTGGCATCATATGTATTCCATTTGTGAAGACTGGAGACCAACTAGCCGATGTTCTCACCAAGAGGCTAGGGAGCAAACCATTTCATGGCATTCTCAACAAGCTGGGCATGAGAGTATCTTTGCACCAGCTTGAGGGGGAGTGTTAGAATAGGAAATATGTGATTGTATTAACTGCTTAGTTATTCCCTTGATTGGTGTAATGGGCTGGCCCATATATTATGCCTTATGACACTCCTGTAATTGCTCAGTATTATTAATATAAAAGGGAATGAAGTCTAACTCATTCCCTAATTCCTTCTCTTCTCTAAGCCTACAAGTCTTAGTAAAAAATAGATAAATTAACATAAACTAATGATTCATAGCATGTAAGTACTAAGACAAAATTAAAAAAAGGGGGGGGGGGTTTGTCGAACAAAGAAGGACTTACATGTAGGTCCTACTAAGTGGACTTATTGTCCAATAGGTTCAATGATAATTAATAGCATTTTTCATCATATATTATTAAAAAAAGTCATTAATTGTTAATTTTCAGCGACAGTTTAAAAATTGTCACAAAAAATGTCACTAATTAGTGATAGCCTAAAAAAATTGCTGCAAAAAAAGTCACAATTTTCAACTTTCAGCGACAATTTGAAAAATTCGTGACAAAATAGTCACTAAGTGCAAGTTTTAGCGATAATTTATAAAAATTGTGACAAAAAAAGTCACTAATTGTCAATTTTTAGTGACATGTGCAAAAAATTGCCACAAAAAATTATTTTTAACGACGATTGTATAAAGTCTTATTTTCAATAGGACTTGGTAGGAATTAAGTTCAACTATTAGGACTTACTGGTAGTTTTACCTCCCCCCAAAAAAAAGAGAGCAGAGAAGAAGAAGAAGAAAAAGAAGAAGAAGAAGAAGAAGAAGAAGAAGAACACAACATCAAAGAGGAAGAAGAAGAAGAAAAAAAAAAAGCCAAAAAAAAAAATACAACAGCAAGAAGAAGAAGAAGAAGAAGAAGAAGAAGAAGAACTCACTTGGTCAAATCGAGTTGAAGAACTCAGACACCGCATGATTTCTTCTTTCCAATCGATTAGAGATTTTCAGTCGTATATGGGGCTAGGTATTGAGTTGTATACTTTAGAGTTGTAATCCTATGTAGTTTGAGCCTTTGAAAACACTGATATGAACCGTTGATTTTAATAAAAAGAAGAAACCCATCAAGTCGCGCGACTTGCACCTTTTGTCGCTTGGCCAATGTCACACGACTTTTGGTGCCTTATTCAACTCGCCTTGCTTTGGGTGTCTTAAGTCTCCTCACCTGCGCTTGGCCGCACCTTGCGCCTAGGCGCTCCTTTCACAACACTGCTTGTGTCCGACATGAATACATACAACACTTGTTTTGAAGTGTTGGTGCTTCATAGCATTGTTTGCTCTTTCTTCTCTGTGCTGCTGTGAGGATGATAATATTGTTTATGTGATGATGTTTATGGCAAACAAGTTTGGTAGTCAAATAATGATAATGAAGCAATGCAATGACTCTTCTTACCTGGTGCAATATGTTTAATTTCTTTCTTGTTTTTTACTTGAATTTTATTTTTTGCGGATATAGCTTGTCTGTGATTGAACTATAGATGACTAACTGTATTCTCAGTTCAGACTCCAGGACGAGAGTTCTTACTTCGAGTGTCATATCTTGAAATTTATAACGAGGTCAGTAATACCACAATAACATTATTGTACAACTGAGTGATGATATCGGCAATCATTTTTGTGATGTCCATTTTAATTGTGGCACAGGTGATAAATGACTTGCTTGATCCAACTGGTCAGAATTTGCGTGTCAGAGAAGATGCACAGGTTTCTTGCTTAAAACTTAATGCAATTTAAAATTTTGATCTTTGATCTCTATTTGATTTTCATTTTTTGGTCATATGATCTTTTTTCTTGCATATTATTTTTGGTCAGTCACTTATTTCATAGTTAAACCTGGGTTGATTGTGACTTTGCTGCCATGTGATGTTGATATGTTTCACAATGCCCACTGGTTGATAAATGACTTATTTTAAAGGATCTTTGTTCGGTACTAGATTATGTTGCTGCTCACTGGTTGATTTTTAATTCATTAGATAATTGTCAAAATTAGTTTCCATCTAGTATTTGGAGCAGTTCAGGTCCTGGACTGTGAACCTTTGAACTTCTGAATATATATATATATATATATTTTCTAAAAATTTGTAAAATATGTGATTTCTGTTTGTTGGTCTTATCTGTTCTGGCAATATCTTTGCAGGGTACTTATGTTGAGGGAATAAAGGAAGAAGTTGTTTTGTCTCCTGGGCATGTACTTTCTTTTATTGCTGCTGGGGAAGGTATTCACTGTAATTTGTTGTTTGCATCTTCCCTACCCCACTTTGTATAATTTTTGGTGGAGTTCTTGTCACTAAGTTGATTATTTTTATTTATTTTTTAAATATGCAGAACATCGTCATGTTGGTTCGAATAATTTTAATTTATTGAGTAGCCGTAGTCATACAATATTCACACTGGTATGTATTCTATATTCATAAATTTTTTGCGTTTTGCTTTGTTAAACTTCACGTTGTGTTGCGATGAAAATTAACATATTATCTTCATTTTCTTTTTACTTTCAGATTGCATGCTCTACTTTTCCTGCTTCATGATATACTACTGTTGGATTTTTTTTTTGGTTGTTTGGTTCATCTTGGGATTTGTTTGTATGTTAATCTCTTCCTTGGTGAGGATCATCTACATTAGGCAAAAAAATACTGCAATTAAACAAGCAAGGAATGGTTCTGGGACTTGATATGTTTTTTTTAGTTTTGTCAAAGATGGAGTGTAAATGATTTAATAGTCTTTGTAGTTTGTAGTTGAATTCAATTGTTCCTTCAAACATGATTATTTTAAAATGGTAAGAGTAAACAAGCTTATTGTGAACAATTGGTGAAGTCTATTTGGTAGAAACACGGATGGAAATAGTTTTTTTTATAAAGGCATTGCTTGGTGCAATGGTAAAAGCTGGGTTTCCCAAGCATGAGGTTGTGACTTTGAACCTAAGAGCTGCCATTTTGTGGAAATAATCGAAGGGTAGGTCTAGATACAACTCCCTGTTCAATACCCACCATCGATCAACAGGGAACAATGGTGGGTGATGCCCTTCTATGATTTATTTTTTGTTTTTTTTGAAGCTTGTTCTCATGTTGCAAACGTCTGTCTGTCTTAGGCTTCACAAGCTTCAGTGTGCTGCCCTAATGGGCTGTGATTTGTTGTGTATCACTTGTGAGCTTGCCATCTTCGGGAGTGAGCACCTAGTTTCTCTGTCCTTGAGAGAATCTTATTTTATTTTTAAATATATAGACTAGGCATTACAAGTTTTCTATTTGTCCCAGCCCCTTAGGCTGTGAGAGGTTTATTGCTACTTAGGCTAGGTTTATGTTCCCCTCTTAAGGGGTGGTGCCTTCGGGAGTGTCTCTAGCTTCATTGTTATTTTATTTTATTTTTTCTGGGTAATAAAACACTTGACAAAAAAGAATAAGTGGGAGCCTTTCAACAGCTGTAAGATTAAGAATTCTAATGAACACAACTCTACTTTGAACCTAAGAGCTGCCATTTTGTGGAAATAATGTCGAAGGGTAGGTCTAGATACAACTCCCTGTTCAATACCCACCATCGATCAACAAGGAACAATGGTGGGTGATGCCCTTCTATGATTTATTTTTTGTTTTTTTTGAAGCTTGTTCTCATGTTGCAAACGTCTGTCTGTCTTAGGCTTCACAAGCTTCAGTGTGCTGCCTTAATGGGCTGTGATTTGTTGTGTATTACTTGTGAGCTTGTCATCTTTGGGAGTGAGCACCTAGTTTCTCTGTCCTTGAGAGAATCTTATTTTATTTTTAAATATATAGACTAGGCATTACAAGTTTTCTATTTGTCCCAGCCCCTTAGGCTGTAAGAGGTTTATTGCTACTTAGGCTAGGTTTATGTTCCCCTCTTAAGGGGTGGTGCCTTCGGGAGTGTCTCTAGCTTCATTGTTATTTTATTTTATTTTTTCTGGGTAATAAAACACTTGACAAAAAAGAATAAGTGGGAGCCTTTCAACAGCTGTAAGATTAAGAATTCTAATGAACACAACTCTACTAGTGTATGGGTACGCTTGTATTAGTCTTGATTATTTAATTTTGCAACTGCTGAGGGTTCCAGAGTTCTTAATTATGAATATGAATGCATTTGTATGGATTTACAATCAGCGAGAGAATTCTAGAATTGTGAAGTTTGAATGCTGGATGGTAATGATAATATGTATGTGAGACTAATCATCTTAGTCAAATACCTCTGTTGGCTCATCAAATCATGTGATCAATGAGTCAAGACCTTGGTTAGTTAATTTTGTTGTTTGAGACTTGGTGTTTTAGTTTGGAAACTGAAGTCACTAGTAGATCGAACTTATTAATCATTTGGGTTGAAATAGTTAAATTTAAGTTTTTTGGTTTCAGATTTTTTTTTTTCGAGCTCAAGAGGAAGTTTATCACCTCAGAATTTGGATTAGCTTTTAAAATCTTATGGAAGTTTGATAGCATGGTGGTGTTGTGTAATGGATGCAAAATTCATTGGCAAGGAAACTCAAACTTTTGTTTCATTAGGCTGGGGATCCTTGTGTTAAAGGAATTGAAGCTCGGGTGGTAAGGAAATTAGCCTATTGGTTGTTCTACTGAAGCTGGAACTAATTAACGAGGTTTATGTATCAATGTTTGCTGAGCTGTAAAATTTCCAGCTGTTAAAATTCTCCCCTTCATGAAGGTTGGTGTGAAGTTGAAGGTGACAAATGTGGCTTTGTCCCATGTAGCTTGTGAATATCATGATTGCTTCACATTGTTTGATGAATATCCCCATTAGCATTTGTAATTCTCAATGATGTGGACGAAAGGTTTTGGTCTAGTCATGCATATTATATTGAAAACAAGCAAAACATTGGGATGCCTTCTGAGAGAACAGCAACAAAATGCTCAAATACACTTGATAAAAACTACTCTAAAAGTAAAAATAGAAAACAATTGATTTAGAAGCTATAATGGATACCTTTCCATGGAGTGTATCAAGAGTCTTGCACCAAAACTTCATGGGCCATGTTTGATGGAGATTAGAAGTTAAAAGTTGATAATCAGAAAGTAGAAGCTAAAGCACCTCTCTCTTAGCTTCCAGATATTCAGTTTTTTTCAGCTTATTTAAACTATTTTTGCCTAATAAGCTATAAGCAGAAGCTGCACCAGACAGTCTGGCACAGACTTGCAAATTAAAATAAGCTACAATCACCTCTTTTAAGTTGTAACACACTTCCCCATTGTTTCCATACAAAAAGATGGCAATAAAGCATTTTTTAATAGCCACAAACACTCTTTTCTATAGTGAAGGCTTTACTTATCTTAAAAATATGAAGAAATTGTTCTATAAATGGAAGGAAAAATCTTAGTGTAATACATATGGTCATAGATCATGTCATTTTCATGCATCGTATATTGTGTGTGCGGTGAGAACTCTAGAGCTGTTGCATTTTCCTTTTTGAAGCATGTCATATGTGCGAAGGCATAACTCTTGTGAATCATTGTCTAGGCAAGTGCTTTAAAGCTTATAGCAGAAATATTCTTCAAGGAAGTCATGAAGTACCTCAGGACTTGGTGTCTGATCTCCAAAGTCTTCAAAATAAATAGTGACATAGATGCAATTAAGTTCCTGAAGTAATTTGACTAGATTGGGAAGACCAAACATTTAAGCATTTTAAATTTGTCAGTCGATTAGTTTGATATTGACTGCTTTAATACATGAGCACATTCATAGTTATGTTTTCAAGTCCTTATGTGCTCTTTGCTTATGTAAATTCAGGGGGATGTAAGCTTCTCTTTGCTTGTAAATGGATATGCAATTGTTTGCTCAGTTACCGAAATTTTCACTTTGTCACTTTCTTGTATTAATTGTTTTCCCTAGTCATTTTGGGCATCATATTTTGTATTCCATTCCTCATGTGCCCTTTTTTAATCTATTAATGTGTTATGCAGATGATTGAAAGTAGTGCTCACGGTGATGAATATGATGGAGTGATCTTCTCTCAACTTGTATGCTTTGGATCATGTATCATTCTCAAGAGTATGGAATATTTGTCTTCTGTTATGTAATAATCACACAGTTTTGTTTTGCCTATTTGTTGTAGAATTTGATTGATCTAGCTGGATCTGAGAGCTCCAAAACTGAAACAACTGGATTAAGGAGAAAGGAAGGATCATACATTAACAAAAGTCTTCTAACTCTTGGAACTGTAAGTGCCCAATGATTACTTCTGTTAATAAGCTTGGATTGAAATTCTTATTAGTGCCTTTTATACTAATATTAATGGTTACCACCAGCAATTGAAGAAATAGGCTTCTTTACCTAGTTAAATTATTGTACTAAATGTTCTGTCTGAGTGTTAGCAAGGCAAAGGTATGGGCAATATTGGCCCTTGGGTTTTTCTCTTGCTGACAAGAAGCCATATAGGCAATGTTGTTATCTGTATTCTCCTTGGCCAACTATTGATAAAATACTTTGAAGGCTAATAGGTAGGGGAAGGGATTAGGATTGATTTGGGGGTGATTGGAAGGAGTTTTGAGTTTGAAAAGCCCACTTTTAGGGGGCTGTGAATAGTAATCCGAGAATAGTAAGTTGAAATAGAAAAGAAAAAAGACAGAAGAGAAGAAGCAGATAAATCTAGGAATCACTCCTAAAATTATTTAGGCATCACACTTAGGGTTTAATTGCAAAATCTCTCATTTTTAATTTTTTTTTTATTTATAAAATATTAACTCTATCAATTATAAGCATTACATGATTTTATATAGGAGTAGGAGACTTAGTAAACCAACTAGAATAAAAAAAGGAAACTACTAAAATATCTTTGATTTCTAAAACTAATTTAAGATCAAATAAGAAACAAAAACAAAGACTAATTAAGTAACTTGACCTATAAGACGACTTATAGGCTACCCATAAGACCCATGTCAGCAAATATAAAATCACTAAAATACCTCTAACCTTAAAAATCTTAGAAAACATAAAAATAATAATAAAATAAGACTAATAATACTAGAAACAAGCAATAGTCATCCGTTCACTTTCTACTACTCCAGACTTCATATATAATAATTCCTTGAATTTTTTGGCATAATCAATCACATGTCACTTTGCTCAAGAGCATACAATTGATCAAGGAAATTATCTTGAAGACCCCTTAGATGAATTTTTTCTCTAAGAAGTGATTTACCCTCTTCCCTAGTCAATCCACTTGTATAGGATCTCCCATAATGTGAAAACATCGTGGTGGAACCTCAAGCTAAAGGCCTAAACTGTGAGTAATTTAGGATTTTAATAGTTAAATTGAAGGCTAATATAGGTAAGGGAAGGGATTATGATTGATTTGGGGGTGATTGGTGTGAGAATAATATTAGTATAGTATATACTATACTAATATTGTTTCTGAATAAAACTATATATTCATTTGTGTTTTAATACAATGTGTACATCTGATATATATAGCAATTCTAGAGCTAATCTTAAATAGGAAACAAGAATAAACCTAAACTAATCCTAAATAGGAAACATGAATAAACCTAAACCAAACCTAAATAGGAAACAAATAAACCTAAACCAATCCTAAATAGGAAACAATATTCACATAATATATACTATACTAATATTATTCTCATACCCCCGCTCAAACTCAAGGTGTTTGGGCAAAAAACATTGAGAGTTTGCCAAGAAGAAACTGAAACTGAGCAGTGGTGTGAGTCTTGGTAAAGAAGTTAGCAAGCTACAGAGCTGAAGAGACGAAGAAAGCGAGATAGAGTCAGACTGCAGATGCTGACGAACAAAGTGACAATCAATCTCAATGTGCTTGGTCCGCTCATGGAAGATAGTGTTATGTGCAATCTAAATAGCACTGCGGTTGTCACAATAGAGGGAGGTCGGAGAAGACTGAGGGACACCCAAGTTAGAGAGAAGACAACGAAGCCAGACAACTTTAGCAGTAGCATGAGCTATAGCATGATACTCAGCTTCGGCAGTAGAGCAAGCAACAACAGTTTGTTTCTTGCTTTTCCAAGAGATCAAGAAATCGCCAAGAAACATACAGAAACCAGACGTGGACTTGCGATCAGTAACATCACCAGCCCAATCAGAATCAGCATAGGCCACCAAATCCAGAGAAGTAGAAAAGAAATAAAGCAGAGTCTTGGGCACAAGGATGAAACCCAAGCTCAGCAACAGCAGCCTGAAAGCGATTATACCAAGCACGAGGAGACTGTTTCAGACTATACAGAGCACACCGAATGCAACAAACTTGTTCAAAGGAATGGTGAAGGCTAGGGAGAGGACGAATGTAAACCTCATCAGTGAGATGGCTATTAAGAAAAGCATTTTTAACATCTATTTGATAAAGAGGCCAAGAACGAACAGCAATGATAGAGATCAAAGTACAAACAGTAGTCATCTTGGTAACAGGAGCAAAGGTCTTCTCATAATCAATACCATACTCTTATGAGAAACCTTTGGCAACCAGATGAGCTTTGTAGCGCTCAAGAGAACCATCAGAATGAGTCTTGACTTTGTAGACCCATTTACAACCAATTAGATTCTTACCAACAGGCAAAGGAATCAACTCCCAAGTACTAGTTTTTTGTAAAGCAGACAACTCATCCTCCATAGCTTTAACCCAATGAGGATCCTGACAGGCCTCCTTGTAAGACTGAGGTTTTGAAAAAGAGTGAATAGCAGACAAAAAAGTATGATAGGAAGCAGAAAAGTATGTATTAGACCAATCCAACTTGTTTGGAGGATGACGCACTCGAGTAGGATATCGGTGTTGGCAGGATCAGAGTCGTCAGAATTAGGAGGATTAGTAGCAGGGGCAGAGACAATCAGTGGAGGAGGAGCCTTGTGACGAAAATAAACTAACAACGAAGGAGGAGGAGGAGAAGAAACTAAAGGAGGAGAAACAATTGGAGGAGAAGATGGAACAAACTCAGGAGGAACTGTGGAGATGTACTGATCAGACGGGACCTCAGAAGGAAACGGATCAATATGAACCAAATCCCCTTTGGAAACTGGGGCAGTGGGAGGAGGAAGCTGAAAGTAAGTCTTGTGCGGTCTCTGCAATATTTTGGGTTCTATGGTTGGAAAGAAACGCGAGGGTGTTTGAAGATAAATCTCGAGGGATAGATTGTTTGTGGGATTGTGTTTGCAATTTGACTTCTTTTTGGGTTTCGGGGAATCCTCTTTCTAAGGGGGTCCTTTTTTTGTTAGCTAGAGATTGGTTGGCAGTGTGTGATATGTAGGCTTTTGCATTTGCGTTTTCTTGTTTAGGCCTTTGTTTTGTGTTTTTCCTTTTTTTTGTAAGAAGATGCCTCATCCTCGTTTACTTTCCTTTTTGATTTATCAATAAAGTTTTTTGTTGTTGATTAAAAAAAAAAAAGGAAGTTGAAAGTAAGGTAGATGCTCGAGGAAAAAAACATGATGGGAGACATAAAGACGACGGGAAACAGGGTTGTAACACTGATAGCCTTTTTGAATAGGACTATAACCCAAAAAGACACAGAGGACAGACCGGGCACTAAGTTTGGTCCTATCTTTGCGGAGAAGAAGGACAAAACAAACAGACCCAAACACACGAAGGAGGGAGCAGTTAGGAATTTGGGAGAACAAAGCCTCACAAGGAGACTGGCCAGAAAGAAAGGGAGTAGGCATGCAGTTGAAAAGAAAAACAACAGTAAAAATTGCCTCCTCCAGAATGGAGCCGGAACTGAGGTAGAGAGAAAAAGAGACCTAGCTGTCTCAAGGAGATGACGGTGTTTATGCTCGGCTCGACCAGTTTGGGTAGGTGTATCTGTACATGAAGTTTGGTGAATGGTACTTAAATTGGCCAAATGCTCACAGAACTCATTTTTAAAATATTTCCCACCCAAGTCAGACCTTAACACTTTAATTGTAGACCCAAACTGAGTAGTAATCATAGACTGAAAGGTATGGTATATCTGATAGAAACCGGACTTATGAGTCATAAGATAAACCCAAGTATAACGAGTGCAGTCATCAACAAAAGACACATAATACGTAGAACCTCATTTGGTGAAAATAGGAGAAGGGCCCCAAACATTATTATGAACTAAAGAAAATGGTGTATCAGATATAGTACTTTTACGAAAAGGTAAGGCTGCCATTTTAGCAAGTTTACACTCCCAACATTCAGTAAGTTCACTAGAAGAAACTTTACCTAATATACCCGACTGAGCTAAAGACCGTAAGCGGTCAGCAGACAAATGCCCTAATCTAGAATGCCACAAGTAGAAAGTAGTGGACTGAGAATCTAATTGAAAAGAGGAAAAACAGTTGGAGAAGTTGTTATAGGCAGATGAAAGCTCCTACCACATAGAGGTCTCCAACTCTACGGCCAGTCCCAATCTGTTACTTAGACATCCGATCCTGCACAGAACAGCTAGAAAAAGAAAAGATAACATCAAAACCAGAGGCATTAGGCTGACTGATAGATAACAAACTGACAGATAATCGAGAAACATAAAGGACAGATGGAATATAGACAGTAGACATAGTAGATGGTAAGACAGACCCAATAGATATAACAGACATACCAAACCCATTAGCAACATTAACAGTAATAGGAAAAGGAAGGGGAGTACAATTTTGAAGTAAGAAGAGATGGGGAGTCATTTGATGAGAGGCACCAGAGTCAAAATCCAGACAGATGAAGAGATATCTGAAGGAGACCCAAGCAAATCTGAATGAAGAGAGGAAACAATGGAGGTAGACGGGGATCGCTGGGAGGTAGACAGTGTATGCTGAAGCTGACTAATTTGAGTATTCAAGGAAGCCCAGTCAGGATCAGGAGCTAGAGAGGAAGGGTAAAACTAGGTTTGAGACTGCTGAGAATACGAGCCAGACAAATATCCCTTCTTGGGACAGTGATACTTCCAATGGTCCCTTTGATGGCAGAAGACACTCATTAGGAGCTAGAGACGTCATAATAACCAGAAAGCTAAGGGGTTTAAGTGTAATAAACCCTAAATAGCCAAACAAGGGGTCAAAGGATAATAAACAAAAATCTGATGGGGCAAAATCTAATAAACCAATGCCAGATGGGTCAAATATGACCAAACAGAACTAGAAAAGGAGTTGCATAATTCCCCAAAACAGATGTAGCGAACTAGAGAAGAGATGGGTCAACCAAGAGAGATAATACCTCAGATGGGTCACGCAATCTGACCTACAACCAGCGAGAGAACCAGATGGGTCAACATGTTGTCAGATTGCAATTCTGGTGACAAATACGATTTCGATGAACACCCAATGGCAGCGAAACAAATACTAAAGATCTAGACGAATTGCGATGATGAAATGCGATGACTAGACGAACCAAACGAAACGGTCAGACGAAGTACCCAACTGAGATGGGTTGACTTCGTGAGACCAGAGATCAGAATCAGAGGTGGTTGCTAGGGTTTCGAGTCCTTCAGGTTTCGAACCAAGCTCTGACACCATGTTACCTTTCTGAATAATGTTGTATATTCAATTGTGCTATAATACAATGTGTACATTTGATATATATAGCAATTCTAGACCTAATCTTAAATAGGAAACATGAATAAACTTAAATCAATCCTAAACAGGAAACAATATTCACATAATGTATACTATACTAATATTATTCTCACAATTGGAGGGAATTTGGAGGTTGAAAAGTCCACTTTTAGACGGCTACGAATAGTAATCCGAGAATAGTAAATTGAAAAAAAAAAAAAAGAAAAAAAAAAAAGGAAGAGAAGAAGAAATAGTAAATTGAAAAAAAAAAAAGAAAAAAAAAAAGGAAGAGAAGAAGATAGATCTAGGAATTACTCCTAGAATTCGTAAGGCATCACACCTAGGGTTTGATTGCATCACACAATCCATAAAGAAGCTTCAAAGCTCTAATTTTTTTCAATTATAAAATATCAACTCTATCAATTATAAGCATTACATGGTTTTATATATGATTAGGAGACTTCCTAAACCAACTAGAATAAAAAAAGGAAACTGCTAAAATATCTTTGATTTTTAAAACTAATTTAAGACCAAATAAGAAACAAAAACAAACACTAATTAAATAAATGACCTATGTTAGCAAATATAAAATTATCAAAATACCCCTAACTTTAACAATCCTAAAAAACACAAAAATAATAATAAAATAAACTCTAATAATACTAGAAATATAATTGTAGAAGATTTCTATCAATTTCTCTATAAAATCATGCCAATGTCCAAGTGTCATCACATCTCTGAATTTAGTATTCCTTGAGCTTCTTATACTCTTCATCACTCCTTGTACCTTCTTATACTACATTTGTAACTAATTCGACTCATTCTCTAACTAACTAACTAACTAACCCTATCATCAACTAACTAGTCAACTAACTCTTACTCACCAACTAACTAATTCTCCACTCGTATAATTCCATCACCCTTAAAACAACCTTGGCCTCAAGGCTGGGGTGCATATCTTCCTTTAGTTTCACAAAAAATTCTAAGCAAGCTAACAATTTGTCCAAATCATAGCCCAACTGAATTTGTTGACGGTAATGAACACAAATTGTCAAGAATCATGGAACACACCATACACATTTCAAGCTTGAAAGTACTGCTGCAGGAGTTGGACTGCAATTTACAGTCTCATTCATCATCTTCGCCCAAAATTAATAAACAATGAAAAATCGGTTGAACACATAGGAACTTCTTTTAACAATATGAAGTTCAATTTAGTTGCGGCAATAATATTGAAGACCGCAGATATGGTGGGTGACTGACTTGGTGGTTTCACCATTGAAATACACAAGTACACATGTCCACCCGGATCCCAAATTTCGGAGATGCAACCATTGATCCTTTCTCGATACCAGTTGATATACATATAGACCAACCAAAAAAGAAAACCAAAACTAGGAATGAAGAACACAGCCGATCAGGGTAATGGAAAAATGAAGGAGAAATGGAACAATTTTGTCCTTTGATTGAATTCTCACTTCTTCTCGGATCAATCTCTTTTTCCATCAAGCAGAGATCAACTATCCCAAGATCAATCTTTGTCTGGTTTTGACCCACCTTTTCTGTGACTTCACCACTCAAGTTCATGATCAGCACGTCAGTGTCACTGAAAACATACTTGAGTACCCCATCGGACATGGTGGCAATGGCTTTCAACCCATTCTTTGAACACCTCTTCTTGCCCACCGAATGGTCGAACATTGCCTTTGTGAACCTCTCAACCTCTGAGCACTGCAAATCTGTCAAATGATTTCAGATTCGGCCTCTGTTTCTACATTCATCAGTTTCTCAATGCAATTGAAACCATCCCAACAGATCTCAATCAGATTTGAAAGCTTTGCATCAATTTCTTGAAGATCTTTGCGAAACTCATTGCAAAATGACTCCAAGGCTTCTTGTGGTGTTGCCATTGCCGAAGATCATTGGCTTTGATGCCACTTGATGCAAACACAAAGTATTTAAAAGAGAAAATAGCGGAGGGGAGAGAGAGAGAGAGATTATCACATGAATTCCATACAATTTGGCACTCATTATACCGTCTTATACTACATCTATACCTAATTCCACTTATTCACTAACTTACTAACTAAGTCTTATCAATTCAACTAACCCTCAACTAACTCTTGCTTACTCATCAACTAACTAATTCTCCACTTGTATCATTTTGTTCATATCTCGTTTTTCTGGGTGGATATTCTTCTTGGGCTTCAGTTGTTAACAGCTACTATATATATGTGTTTCATGTCCAGTTGGATAATTTTATTTTTACTTGGAATGTGAAGGTAATTGGAAAACTAAGTGAGGGGAAAGCATCTCACGTTCCATATCGAGATTCCAAGCTTACCCGCCTCCTGCAATCTTCACTAAGTGGCCACGGACATGTTTCGGTAAGTTTGAGAAGCAAAAGAAATATGTTAGGATGAGTTTGCATGAATTTTTTTTCCCCAAAAATCATCTTATTTGTATTGTACGGCTACAAGTCCACAAGGTACTACGAGGCTATATACCAAATATTTGTTTCATGTTGTCAAGTCTTTCCAGTAAATATTTTCCCAATTACAACTTCATTATGTAATCTGTGAACAACCTTAGTGAAGCTCATTCTGAACTATAATGCAATACATAAACAAAGGTATTATGATGCAATATGATCTGACATGCATCTTACCTTTTTTTTTGGGTTCTCTTCTCAACCCAGCTTATATGCACAGTTACTCCTGCATCGAGCAATATGGAGGAAACTCATAATACATTAAAATTTGCGAGCAGGGCAAAGCGCGTTGAGATCTTTGCCTCGCGTAATAAGGTATGTCTTGGCAGTGGTATAATGTATGATATTTCAAGAAGAATGTACTGTAATATATGCTTGAAGTTCACTATATGCTGATTAACAAAATATGTTTTTTTTCTCCAGATTATTGATGAAAAATCTTTGATTAAAAAGTATCAAAGAGAAATATCAGTCCTTAAAGAAGAACTTGATCAGCTAAAGAAGGGGATGGTTGCTGGTGTCAATCATGAGGAGCTTTTGACCTTAAGACAAAGGGTTTTCTTTCAACTCTTTTGTTTTCATTATGAGATTGCAACTGGCTTACTTTGACTAACATTGAAGCTAAACTTCTTGTTTCATATGTTAATTATTGTTGCTTTTCTCAGTCTGTGACCTGATCCTTCACTGAGACTGGCTACGTAGATTTAGGTTCTCATGCGATGTTCACATTTTGTTGTTTATGTAATAGTTGGAAGAAGGTCAAGTGAAGATGCAATCAAGATTGGAGGAAGAGGAGGAAGCCAAGGCTGCTCTAATGAGTAGAATACAAAGGCTAACCAAGCTCATACTTGTTTCTACAAAGAATACAATTTTGAATGAGGTGCCCAGTCATCAACAGAGTCATTCTGTTGGCGAAGATGATGTAAGCTGCCTATTCAAATCTCTATAAATATGACCTGACCTGACATTTTCTGATCTGAATCTCTCTCTCTCTCTCTCCCTCGTTTTGTTTGAACCCTTATTGTAGCTTGATCATTTAGTTGGACCAAAATGTAACTAAATGTTAGAATTTTTGTCAAAATTTAGGTAGCTGGGGATCTAGTAATTTTTCTTGGTTTTGGGACAAAGCAAGTGAACAAGAATTGGCTTTCCTAATTTTGTAGTATTTGTACAACTTGGACTGGGACATTCTAAAATTGGAAGAAATTTTATCTTCAATTACTAATATATAATGCCGTAATTATGTTTGAAATTATGATTCTATATTTTATATTTATTAGAATTGAACACTATTTTTGGGATGAATTTCCAAATTCCAATTCTCCATTTTATAATTTTTATGAAATGAACACTTTTTTTAACTAGGCTTCACTTATCAGCAGTTTTTTGTAGTTATTGAGCCATGGTTTGGTTTTCCTCCCAGGCTATATAATCACAAAAGACAAAAAAAAAGCTACAAAATCACAAAAAGACAAAAAAGCTACAAAAGTACCAAAATATCCCATATACAAACAAAAAGTCAAAAAAGTATCTTTCTATACTAAGGGCAATTTTGTCATTCTAAAGCCAAAAAGTCAAAAAACCCAAACAAGAATACCAAACAACTAAAAAAGTCCCAGGCTAAAAAAGTCAAAAAAGGCAAAAAGCCAACTAAAAAAGCCAAAGCCAAAACCAAACGACACCTGAAATGATTCGTGTTCTCGTTTTAGTTTTTCTAATGTAATGTGTTCAATATTGTAATTTTGAGAGCTGAATGATATTGCCATGGCTAATCAAAGGGTTAGTTTTGAGTTGCTCGATATTTTTGTAGTTCTCGACATAAATTTATGCCTTTATGCTTTTGTATGGTTTCAATTTTCTTGTAGGCAACTTTCATTAATAGTCATCTTGATGTTTGCTGTGTTCATTCCAGCAATGGTTTCTTTTGGGAAATCTCTCCCTCGCTCTTCACATGCTTTCCGTGCACACACACGCACACAAAAGATACAATATGTTTCCAATACAACTTTGTTTTCGGTTATGTGTTTTGTGTTTCAATCTAGAAAACCTGAATTTGATGATCTTTTCATGTTATTTCAGAAACTGGATGTTTTGCATGATGGTTCTTTGCACATAGAGAGTGAGAATCACAAAGATTCCCCATCTTCTGCTTTGTTAGCTTCATCAGATCATTCTAATGAATTTAAACACAGAAGATCTTCCAGCAAGTGGAATGATGAACTGTCACCGACTGCCAGTACAGTTACCGAATCAACTCAAGTGGGTAAACTCATCAGTGTTTCTTCCTGTGGTATAAAACTGTGTTTTGCTGCTTCCTCTTTTTTGTCGCTTCCCCCCAGCTCTCATTTTCTGTATCATTTACCATGCGAAACCAGCCAATAACTTTCTTAGTTTATGGAGGTTGCTTCTGTTAATTGTTAGCAAATACTTAACTCATTGGTTGCATTAATTATGGCAGTGAAACAGTTTCCTCATGCACTCTATTTGACTGAAACTTGTTCATGCTGTATGCTGTTTTTTTGGGTCTATAAGTTACACACATGTGCATATGCACACTGGAAAAACTTTATTTGAATAAAAGGCAGACACAATGCACATAACTCTTCCCATATGAAAGTATACTTTGTTGTTGGGACTTGGGATTTAGTTATTTGTGACTACCTCTCTCATTATCTTGCATTAATTTAATCTGTCACAATTTTGCCAAGTGGCAAAAAATTAAAACAACAGCCTAATATTAACAAAAGAGATGAAAAGTGGTCCTGGATTAGTGATAGAAAGAGATTTTATGTTGAAAAATAAATTCACGCTATTTCACAACATATTTTACATTATCATTGATTCATTCCTTTATGAGATTGCAACTGGCTTACTTTGACTAACATCAAAGCTAAACTTCTTGTCTCATAACGATTTATAAACAATAATCTAGCTGTGTCTCACCTTTTGGTTAGAATTGTTCCGACTATATGTTGAGCCATTGATATTTATATAATCATTGCGAGTTACATTTGAAATAGTTATCTCATTTCTGTTGCTACTATTCTATGGTAGTATGCCATTATGTTGTAGTTCCTAGTCCTACAAATCTGTGATAGATATGTAGATTCTGTACATGACATTTAACATCTGTAAACATACTTGTGTTGGGCTGCAGGGTGGGATGACAATGTCAGATCAAATGGATCTCCTAGTTGAGCAAGTTAAGATGCTTGCAGGTGAGATTGCATTCAGCACCAGTACCTTGAAGCGTTTGGTGGAACAGTCTGTCAATGACCCTGATAACTCGAAAACTCAAGTAAATCTTTTATTCATCATTTTAAGATGTATGCTTCGTTTTAATATGGTGCATTCATTTTCAATTGTGCAAACCTTTCTTATGCAAAATATGGCTTACCTTTCTTTGAAAATGTTTACACAAGCAAATCTGTTTGTATGAGAAAACCTTGGCGTGCTTGATAAACTAATGTTATCCAATGTTGGGATTTTATCTTTGATTCCTCATTTAATGAGATATGTTCAACTAGGAATTTGGTCTTAGCCTCTGTGACAATTGACAAGGAATGGTAGTAAGAATTAAGTGTGCCCAAGGTAGATTCATAGGGGTGAAAATGAGCTGAGCTAAGAAGCACAGGAACAGACATACAACAAGTGAGTTGACATGGGCAAAACATATAATTTTATGTCATATATTTGAATATTGTTGCATATATTTTATGTCAAATATTTATTCTCATCAAATTCATCAACCTTGGGTATGCTACTCCGGTGAAAAAATATATAAAAGAAATATGAGACACCGCATGTCCCCAGTGTCCCTAATGTGTCCATTGCGTGTCCAACCGAAAAAATGGGGCACTTCCTCCAACGTACGTGACTACCAAAGAGGTGTCTGTGCTTCATAGGAATTGAGCCAAGTTGATTATCTGACTATTTGAGAATGGGTCAACAGCATTTGGATTGTGTTAAATTTGGCTCTAACTTGGTTTAGATTGGTTGAACTCAGTTTGAGCTCTGCTTGAACTTTATGGTGGAAGCTAGAGCTTGGCTCGTTTTCTGTTTTAAAAATGAACATGTAATTTTTCCTCTTATTTCATGGGTAAGGTCTTTCTTGTCATCTTATGCAAATTGCAATGCAATTTTTGTAAAACAATAATGCTGCCCTTGTGACTTTAGTTGGCCAATTTTTAGCCAATTTTCAAATGTGTTGCCAAATCAACTTGCATTTCTTTCACAAAATACATTCTAGTTGATTAAGGAACATGATTGTGAGATGGTCCAGTGTAGCATGAAATTTTATTGCTTCTTCGCTTGGGCTGGTGCTCATCTCCAGTCAGGACATTTGATCCTTTTTATTGTTGTTGCACAGTTGGTTAAGGAATCATGTTCCTTTCCTTGAACAGTTAGAATTTGAACACCATAAATTTTGTCGGAGTTCCAATTTTTTTCATGTTCATAACCTTCCAGGAGCCAAAATGACTGAGATTGCCTTGACAATAATGAGTTGAGTTCCTGCTCAAGTTCAGCTCATTTTGTAGGACAAATGTGCTCAGTGGTAAAGGTTCTACATCCAGATGTTCTGCACTCCAGCTACTCATGACACATGAGCCACCTGGCCTGTTTTACTGGGTGGGGTGCCTCCTCTTGGGTAGCATGATTTGGTGTTGGAGATTTTGAGAGTGATTCTGTATGTGGCTCTAATGTGCATTTTCAAGAGTACTGATATACAAATAAAATTTCCATATAGAATGATGTGGCTCTTTATTGTCCTATCTTTTCATAAAACACCCATTACTGCTCTTCATATAGAAATGTCACTGGCACACCATTCTAGATGAGATTTCTATATAAAGGTTCTGTTTACATACCATTTTTCCATTTTCAATGTGCCTCCTGTTGGATTTCCCCTTCACTATCAAATAAGTTGTCTTCAGTTGTTGAGAGTTTTGGGCTTGGGTTTTGTACTCTCCTTTTGACTAATAAGAATGCAAAGTTGATAACAGAAATTTGCAAACAGTGTATGACACTAATAAATGCAGTAATAAGAATGAAAATCAGAGTGCTAGATTGAGCTTAAACACCTACATCTCGATCCCAAAAAAGAAGACAAAGAAGCTAATGGAGCAGGCTCTATTTTTCATGGAAGCTAGTCCAAAAGCTTTGATTACAAGCTGGAGGAAACTTTATAAGGTTCTGAGGCTTTCATAAGAAAAGTGCAACAATGTCATTTATTTATTTCAAATATAAGGGCTATTGTTATTTCAAACAAAATAAAATAGGCTAAAGTAATTAATTGGCCCCTGAATGGTCATGTAACTCACTTAAAAATCCCATGACCTTTTGAATCAAAGCACGCAGATAAAAATACCCAGAATTATACTCTGAATCCATAAACACAATATGGAACCTCTGTAAGTAGAAACACAGTTTACACTATGCGTGGTTGCGCCAGTAATGCGACTTGTCTGCTTTGCCTTTAGCATGCTCTAGTGCTTGCAAATACAACTCCTCCATATGCTTTGCACACGATTCCTGCTTTATTTTTTTTGCCAAACTAAATCTTAGTTAATTTTCTCTTCTCTTCCACACAAATTTTATACCATCTATGCTTCTTTATTTTTGATTTTTTGATTTTTTTTTAGTTTTATGTTTTAGTTACGCTGTGTTTGGATCATGGATTTGGAAAGGGAAAGGGGAATGGAGAAAAAAATTAGCTTATACTTCATTCACACCTTCCTTACCTTTTTCCTTTTCCTTTCTAAATTCCTTCCCAAATTCATGATCCAAACATAGCCTTGGCATCAAATGTTGTGTTTGGATATGCAAATTTCTTGTCAAATAGAAGTACATGGACCAATCTGTTTTTTGTCTCTTGGACCTTTGATTAATATTTTATGCGTTAGTCTGATCTTTCAATATGTACTACTGCCTCTGGTATTTCAACTATTTCTGCAAGTGTAAACTCAAATTTCATATTGGTCATTTTAAGGGCACACATTTCTACTTTGCAGATCCTGTACAAGTATAAGAAGTTTGTCTGAAATAACTTAAATAACTAATCACAATATATCACTATAAATTTTCATGTGGTGCTTGTATTTTATTTTCTTAGTGTTGGGCTCATTATTTGTGTGGTTGTGCCTGCTTTCTCATATGCAGATTCAGAACTTGGAACGTGAAATCCTTGAAAAGAGGAGGCAGATGAGGATTTTGGAACAACGTATTACTGAGAGTGGTGAGGCTTCAATTGCTAATGCTTCATTGGTTGACATGCAACAGGTAATCATACTTCATCATCATTGGATTGTCCTCTTCAATTTTCTTATAATTTGCACCTCAAAGTCCATCCTAGGTTCATTATTATTGACATATTGCTTAACAATTGCCTCTTTATCTTCTCTCTTCTTTCTTTTTCCCCTGGTGCAACAGACGGTGATGAAATTGATGGCCCAGTGTAATGAAAAAGGTTTTGACCTAGAGGTTGGTACTCCTATATAGTTGTCAAATACTGTTTTATCTGCAAATTTTGGTGGGTAGTTTTTCTTCAGACCATGGTATGTCACCACTCATTTGTTACCTTATAGTGGTAAAGCTGCCTGTTATCAATGTTACATCTTTTTGTTAAATATTTTTTTGATAAATGCAGATAAAATCAGCAGATAATCGCATCCTCCAGGAACAACTGCAGAACAAGGTCAAAATAACATCATTCTACTATACTTCTTTCACATAATTCCATCTGTTTGAAGATTATGCTCATTGTTGTCAAATCGAGAATCGAATCGTGAATCGTTTTGCTAAAATAGTGAATCGTGAGTCGTATCGAATTGCGAATTGTAAGATTCATTTTATTTATTATAATATATAATTTTATATATTTATATATAGATAAAAAATCACTCATATGTAAATATCAATATAACTAAGTTTTATATATGTATATACATACAACATCATGTGTATCAATATAACTAACTGATCTATTATATATGCCTTGATAGTTTAGCGAAAATGATGTTATTTCATGCATTATGTGAGCAAAACCAAAAATAGAATTGAATGGCAGTGAATCGTAATAAATTGTAGTTCATTGCACATTGAATCGCACGATTCACTCAATTTTCGATTCAACAGCATGATCCAAATCGTTTTAGTGGAAACTCGTATCGAATCGTGAATTGTATGATTCTAACAACCATGATTATGCTAGCAATTTTCATTATATAAATAGTTGCATCTCTAGAGGTCATGACTTGGAGTGATGACAAGTGTTAAGTCACTCCCAATGCTGCTGCATGAGTTTAAGTCATCAGAATTAGCCTCTCTGTCTACATGTTTGCCTCTTCTGGGTCCTGCTATAAGCAGGAGCCTTGCGCACTGGGATTCGATTTTTAAAATGATGTCTCTCTGCTTTAACTTTTCCTGTCTTTTGCTTATATCATTGTTACTGTGTTTGTTGCAATCAGTGTGCAGAGAATAAGGAATTGCAAGAAAAAATAAGTCTCTTGCAACAACAATTGGCTTCAACGAGCAGTGGGAAATTATCACCTTCTGAATGGTGTCCATCTGAAGAATACGTAGATGAGTTGAGAAAGAAAATTCAGTCCCAGGTGAGTTGGATCTTCTGGATTTTGAATGGGCATGGCTTAACAGAATTGTGGTCAGAGAAATTGATGTTTTTGGTGGCAATTTGATTAAATAATCCCATATCCTGTACCCTCTTAGATGTTGCCATTGTATAGTTTTCTATTGAAGATTTAAGAATTCTTCGATCACAGCTGGCTTTATAAATTCACTTCCAAAAGACATCTTACAGAAGCAAAGTGGTGTAGAGAATATAATGTCTTTTATACCAACTACAATAAATTTTGACCTGCCGTTAGCCTTGCACTGGGAAAAAAAAGTTGGTGTGTTTTGTCATTCAAGCGTGATTTGTGTCTGGAATTTTCTTTTATATTTGTGGGAAAACCTCAGCATATGCATAATTGGATGTTCACAGAATTTGTTCAGAAGTTGGATTTTAATGCTCTGCTTGTTCCAGCAGAAAACTTTTTCCATCAAATGTTTTCGTGTTTGGTTGCAACCTTGAAACTATTGTACTAATGGCTGTATTAGTGGTGGTGGTAGTGGCGGTTGAGCTGATGTTGAGGTGGTGGCCGTGGTAGTGATGTTGTTGTGTGCTTTTGAGGTGGTGGTGGAAGTGGTGGCGGTTGCGGTGACAACAGTGGTTGGTGGTGGTCGTAGTGTTATGGTGGAGGTGGTAGTTCGGTGATATTGGTAGATTTTAGGGGTTGTTTGGAATGATCTAAATAAGTGCACTTTTTAACTTTTTATGAAATATGGGTTGGGTTTGGGTTGGGTTTGAAGTGATGTGTAAGAGAGGTGATGTGACTTAAATAAGATGATGTGACTTAAATAAGATAGTGACTTTTTGACTTTTTTGTCTTTTTCAAGACATGCCAAACTTGGCCTTAATTCTGGAAAACGTTTTCCACCTTTCAAAAATGGAATATTTTCTGCCCAAATTTTCTGTTTTATCAAATATCAAAAAATGCAGAAGCTGTTTCATAGAAAATGTTTTCCACTGAAACAAGCGTAGCATAAGTGTAAAGTGTAGAGTTTGGTATCGTGAGCGGATCCTTGTATAAAAGATGTTGCTCCTACCTTCAATGTGTGTATTGTGTAAAATTAACTGAAATCTGCAACGACATGGATGTTCAACAAAGCTAATGATTACATATATGTTTTTGTTTCTTTGAGCAGGAAATTGAGAATGAGAAACTAAAGCTAGAACACGTACAGATTTTAGAGGAGAACAGTGGATTACGTGTGCAGAATCAAAAATTGTCTGAAGAAGCTTCTTATGCAAAGGAACTGGCCTCTGCTGCTGCGGTTGAGTTGAAGAATTTGGCTGGTGAAGTCACAAAGCTTTCACAACAGAATGCAAAACTGGAGAAAGAATTATTAGTTGTTCGGGAATCCACACATTCTAGGGGCTCTGGTTTACAAACTGGTAATGGGGGCAACCGGAAGTATAGTGACAGCATAAAACCAGGGAGAAAAGGACGGCTTTCTGGCCGTTCTAATGAAGTTTCAGGAATGGTCTATGATGAATTCGACTCGTGGGATCTTGACCTAGATGATTTAAAAATGGAGTTGCAGGCAAGGAAACAACGGGAGGCGGTCCTTGAGGCTGCCTTGGCTGAGAAGGAATTTGTTGAAGATGAATACCGGAAAACTGTTGAAGAAGCAAAGAAAAGGGAGGTAGCTTTGGAAAATGATTTAGCCAACATGTGGGTGCTTGTTGCACAGCTGAAAAACGAGGGGGGAGCTATCCCTGAGTTCAGCATGAATGGGAGGCATATTGATGGAATAAACCATGTGAATGATCCTAAATTAGATGTTGACAGTAAGGATACCGTCCTCAAAGAGAGGCGAGTTGCGGATGTGACAAAACCAACTCAAGATGTTTCCAAGGAAGAATCCCTTGTTCTTCGTTTGAAGGTAACTCTCCCTCACTCAGTCCATGCATTACATGTAGACAAGCTTGCATGTGTTCCCATTTATTTGGATGTGTCTCTTCGGTTAAGTTAATTTTACAAGAAAGAAAAGACTGAAAAATGGCTCACCAAGAGTGTACACCATCTGCTCGACCTCAGAAACTTCATAAGATTCCACTTAGTTTATTTTAATGTAGGGAACCTAGTTTGGTTTGATTTGGTCACGTGGCTTCTTAAGGTAATTTGCTTTTGGGTGATTCTAGTGTTTTAAATGCTTTCAGGCTCGAATGCAAGAGATGAAGGAAAAAGAACTCAAATTTTCGGGGAATGGGGATGCAAATTCTCATGTATGTAAAGTATGTTTTGAATCACCAACTGCCACAATGCTTCTCCCTTGCCGGCATTTTTGTTGTAAGTTATTTGAACCTTTAAGCTCTGAACTTCCTTAAACCTTGAGCTCAGTTTTTGACTTATTTTACAGTATTGACTTTTGTTTATCTTTTGCAGTGTGTAAATCCTGTTCGCTTGCTTGTTCCGAGTGTCCAATCTGTCGCACAAAGATCGCAGATAGGATTTTTGCTTTCACTTGATAATAGTGTGCTTTATTATCCCCTGAATCTGGGTCAGGTAATTCAGTTTTCTGCACTTGATGTTTACATAACCATGTGAACGTCAAAGCTTAGTGCATGTTTCACTCTTGCAACTGTATGAATATGATGGTAGAAATATTACAAATAGACATGAGACTATTGTTCCTCTTCTTGCAACATGTTCAACAATAAGTTGGTGGACATGGTTGCCCCTTGTGGGTGATACCGTGACATGATGCGACTTATTTGAGTTTGTTAACAGTAATTAGAACTGTAAAACAAACCAAGCTACTTGGGCTTGACTCGTGTTTGGCTCGTCCAGCTCATGCGACATTGACAAACCAAACTTGAACACATAAAAGCGTGATAAATTTAAAGTCAAGCTTGAACAATCAACTAGGCTTGATAAGTTTATATATACTACAAAAACCCAAGCTACTTGAGAGCTCCATTCATGTTCGGCTCATTAAAAACTCATTTGAGATCGGCTCATTATGTAAACAAAGTTAAGCTTGAACATAGTTTGAAAATCTTTTCAAATAAAACTTAACAACTTACTACTTGGCTCGTTTACATTCCTAAATAATATTTCCTTGGTAAATTTTGCATCGTTGATTGTCCAGTTAATTTTATCTTTAGGGGAATGAAGTTTTTATAACATATTTGTATTTCTGTATTTTCCTTGCAGGGCTTTGTTGTATTTCACCTGCATCTAGTTTTCTCTGGAAAGATTGGTGCCATTCTTTTATTAGTTAGCCGCCTGTATGTAACTGCTGAAAAGGTATATTTGTCTCTGTACCCTCTCCCAAGGGCTGTAAAATAAGAGGGAAAAAAAAATGTAAAAACTAAATATAAGCACATTTGGAAATTTCCAATGCAGCATGCTCTGTTTTGTTTCTCAAATACCCAGAAGTGTGGATATATACATTCTTCAAACATATCTTGCAATGTATACAACAATGTAAGCTCCCTACAAGAATATTTATTTCCCCCTCTTTGTACGACTGTTGAATTTTTGCTGATTCTTTTATTCCAATTTAGTTTCCTAACAAATTCCCTAATAAACTAACTATTAATTCAGTCTTTTTTTTTTTTTTTTTTTTTTTGCGTGGGTATATACATTCTTCAAACATATCTTGCAATGTATACAACAATGTAAGCTCCCTACAAGAATATTTATTTCCCCCTCTTTGTACGACTTTGTTGAATTTTTGCTGATTCTTTTATTCCAATTTAGTTTCCTAACAAATTCCCTAATAAACTAACTATTAATTCAGTCTTTTTTTTTTTTTTTTTTTTTTTTTTTTTTTTTGTGATGGATTTACAGCCTTCACCCGTGTGGGTTTAAAATTTTTCAAATAACATAAAATAAAGCATGTGATTTGTTTTATTAACGTCCAGAATCTGATTTGATTGGGATCTTGTTAGTAGTTGTGGGTTGGTGTTGGGTGAACAATGAATGGTGTGGATTCTGCGCACGACAAGATTGCAGATAACTTTAGAATCTGCATTTTTGTACGTCTTAATTAATTGGCAATTCGGATTAATAACATTCTGGTATAGGTTCCCAATTGAAATTAATCTACAAGCAGAGCTTGGTTTAGTGGCAAGACCCTGAATTTTTTGCTTAAAGTCCGGATTCGAGTTTTCATAGTCTTTTGTCAAGACAAACATACTTTTAATGCTCAGAGCACGCATGGGCTTTAGTTTTGGATCCCGATATAGATGTGGTGAGATTTTTTACAGATGCTTTGTGGATATTAAGGAACAATACTCCTTGGTGGGTAGGTACAATAATCTATCTATATATCTGTTTTTATGAATTATAAGAAATAAATAAATAAATAAATAAAAAATATAAATAAATAAATAAATAAATAAATAAATAAATAAATAAATAAATAAATAAATAAATAAATAAATAAATAAATAAATAAATAAATAAATAATATGAATTATAAAAAAATAAATAAATAAATAAATAAAAACTAATCTGATTTACCGCAATGTGTTGTGATGTCTGTATAGTTATTAAAAAAAAAAAAATTGATGTCACACTTTTGGAGATCTTTCTATTCGTCTTTGAAAAACTAATCCCATTGGTCCACTATTTTTAATAAACATTTTTATCTGTGTTGAACAGATTGGATAAGGGGAATTAGTTCCTGGACAGATTGGATAAGGGGAATTATGAACATTCTTATCTCTACAATCCTACTTTCATCCAACGGCTCAGATCGCTCTAAGATTGATTCTACCATCGAGTTTGTGTGGAGTCACGCGCTAGATCGTGGGATTGCGATCCTGGCCAATGCGATCCTACCTCGATTTTGGCTGACTATCAAAATTTGAACACAAAGAAGAATCAAACCCACAACATTAGCTTCTGAGTCAAAAACCACTAAGCCACAAGCCTCTCATTGGGCGTGTTTGATTCGCCGGATTATGGGGACTATTCACTATTTGGATTGTAATTCAAATAGTGTTCCTTATCCGCCGTTTGATTTTTTTTTAGTCCGCCGGACTCCTTATCCCCCATATGGGGGACTATTGTGTCCTAGGGGGGTTATTAAATTATTTCAACATCTGTACATCAACATGTATATTTATTTAACATCTATTAAATTATGTTTTAATACGTCAACATTTGATTACATCTACATTTGTTAATTGTTAATTACATCAACATTTGTTAATTGTTTAAACATAATCTGTACATCAAAATAATTTCAATGTTAATTGTTTAAATAAAAATTTAAACATTTAACCATTAGTATGTTTAATTTCAACAATAAATTTTTATTTGTTTAAATAAAAATAATCTATACCAGTCAAATTTTTTTATCAATATTAGTATGTTTAAATATCTTTAAACAAAATTTAACCATTAGTATGTTTAATGTTTACTAAAAATAATTAAAATATTAAAGATATGTTTAATATTGCTATTACTTAGTAAACAATTGAAAAAGGGTAAAATAGTCTTTTGTTCATTTATCCTATCCAGTCTGTCCAACCAAACGTTGGATTCACTAAAAATAGTCATTTCCAGACATCTAATCCTATAAAAAAACAAACACAGGATACATATCCAATCCAACAAAATAGTCTGGGGGATTCACAGTCCCAGGACTCAAGTCCGATGGATTCTAATCCTCCTTTATCCAGTCCGTCCAATCAAACACACCCATTGTTTTCTATTTTTGAATCAATGTTTTTTATTTGTTATATATACACTTATTTATTTAATATTCTTTTGTATATAAAAGCATTATTTTATATTTATATCTTATCTTATATTTAATGCTTAGAAATATATTTTTTAATTTGTTATATATCTTATCTAATATTATTATTATTTTTATATATCGTAGCTAATAGAGTTAACAAATGGTGGACATGGAGTGGACATGGAGTCCTATCCCTAGGTTGAAAACACACTAAACAAGCAAGGCCTAAGGGGTTAAATGCTTTCAAACCTTTAGATTCATGTGTCCATTCCAGGCTAAAATAACTAATAAAACAAAATACTCCATCACATCACTCTATTTATCTTTTACACATATTTTCGTTAAGAGTCAAATAATCAACTAAAATAGCCTACTCCTAAATGGAAATTCTTTTGGTTTTCTAAATTAAATAAGAGTTAATTACAAAAAACATCCTAGTGTTTCGCTTCTTTTTCATTTTAAGCCTTAGTGTTTCAATTTCGACAAATTGAATGCTAAAGTTCCATCCATATTTCAATGTGGCCCCTGTGTCCATCTCCGTTCATCTTCTTCCTTTAATAGCACACCTGATTTTCATATTCAAACTCACATGTTGAAGCCCTTGTATCTCCATCGCTGTAATTTCATTTCGCCTCATTTTTGCATCGTCGGATTCACCCCATGACTTAAGCCTCCTTTGGCAACTACATGTTTTAGCCAAAAAGCCAAAAAATCACTATAAGTTGTCACATCCTTCTCTCTACTTTTCTCTATATCTTTTCGTAAAAAGTCAAAAAATTATTAAAATAGCTTATTCCCAAACGAGACCTTAGTTTTCATTCCATTCCTCATATTTCTTGTTCCACCTCTTTTTGCGTGCCTCCGGAGCTCCGAAAGTTGACCAAAAATTAGATTTTTTTCCCATTTCATACTTTTTTTCGAGCCATTTTTCCTACTCCATAACTTTCTTGATTATTAACAGTTTTACTCCTTTCTTTTGTCAATCTCTTCACCTCAGTTCTTACTTCGTCCTACGCTACCTCACTTTTTTACTCCTCTCTAGAATGGGTGATTTTAGTATGTCGAAAGTAGCCTATAAATCAACTTAAAAAATTCCAAAAACTTATCCCTTTTGTTTCTTTCTCCTCCATCATCCTTTTTCATCTTCACCTTAACATGTTGTGAATGGTGGTTCTAGGTTTTGACATAGCAGGGCGATGGTGGCGGCGATGGCGGTGGCGACGGTGGTAGCGAAGCTCATAGTTAAAGGAGGTGATTACAGAGATAGTGCTGGTGTGGGTTAAAAGTGATGGCGATGGAGTTTGATGGCGGAGGTGAGGTTGAGAGATGGTGATGATGAAGCTCACATGGTGATGGGTTGGTGGGTTGATTGTTCACTTCGTTATCACCACCTGAACCACCAACCCACCACCATCTGTCAAAACATAGAACCACTATTCACATGTTATAGGTGAAGATGAAGAAGAAGGAAGATGGAGGAGAAAGAAACAAAAGAGGTAAGTTTTTGAAATTTTCGAAGTTTGTTTTTGGGACCGAAATCACCCATTTCGGCATACCAAAACCATCCATTTCGAGGAGGAGTAAGAAAGCGGGGTAGTGTAGGATGAAGTAGGAAGTGAGGTGAGGAGATTGGCACAAGAACGGAGTAAAACCGTTAAGAATCGAGAAAGTTATAGTGTCTGAAAGATGACTCGAAGAAAAGTCAAAAATAGAAAGAAAAATCTTATTTTTGGTTAACTTTCGGAGTTTCGACAGCACGCAAAAAGTGGTGGAATAAGACATATAAAGAATGAAATAAAAATTAGACCATGAGGTGAATCTAATGACTCAAAAATGAGGCGAAACAAAATTACGACGAGGAAGATATAAGGGTTTTAACAGGTGGGTTTGAATATAAAAATTATGTATGCTGCTGAAGGAAATAGGTGAATGAAGATGAACAGAGATAGATGGAAGGTATATTGAAACACAGATGAAACTTTAGGGTTTAATTTGTCAAAATTGAAACACTAGAGTTTAAAGTGAAAAACATGTGAAATTTTGATTTTTTTTTCTTTTGGTAATTAACCCATTAAATAATTAGACTTTTTTTTACTTTATTTATTTATTTATTTTTTCAAATTCCAAGAATAGGCTAAAGCTTTCATAAAAGTGTGTTTACAAAAAAAAAAAAAAAAGTTACTGTTTATAGAAATAGACTTTTTGTCTTTATATAAGCCTCGTTTGGAAAGTTAGCTATTTTAGTAGGCCAAAATTTGTGTGTTTGGAAAGATGTTTTTTTTTTTTTGTAGTTAGATGTGATATTTCTGAGAGAAAAAGTAAAATGATTATGAGTTTGATATGACATTTTATCTTATTGACTATTTTAATTTATTTTATCTTTTTGTAAATTTTAACCTAAAATTTATGTTTTCAAAGACTTTCTTGTCCTTGTATTCATTAGTTTATAGACTTTTGTGAAAGCTTTGGCCGTATTGGTGTTGTAAATTTCAACATTATAGATATGCAATAACTTTATGATAGACTTATTAGATTAGGATAACTTGTTAGTTTTTGTTTGTATCTACAAGATGTATTTTATAAATTGACATTCAAGCCAACAAAGGAAACAATGTAAATTCCTACCAGCTCTTTGTTGCCTAACTTCTCTAACTTCTCTTAACTCCATAACTCCATAAAATAGTAGAATAAAAATAGTAGAAAGCTCATTTCCTTTTGTTATTTTGTAATTGGTATCAAAGTTTGGTGAAGAGTTTTTAAAAGTAAGATCAAGCTATGTAAG